ACAGATGCTTCCTGCCTTGTTTATCACTTTGCTGTGGAGAGCAGCAGTGAACTCATTTTCCAGACTTGGATTTGTATGATGTCACCTCATCACTGAATCATAATGGCAGTGTAGTATCACAGGAATCTGCAAAGTTCATTTCCTCAGAATGTAAATTCCCAACCCAAAGTCTAATATGCCTTTGGGTTGATGATTTGACTAATATATAGGATATGGTAATTTCTAATTAAATGTATTTTTCCAAGTACCTGATCATACCATGGGTCCCTGAGCTGATGCAGATGACTGGACCAGCCCTGGCTAACAGCAGAAACAAAGCAAGCCTCTACCCCACTGAACTCTAACTTCAGTGGAATTTAGTATTATTTTGAGTATTTAATTCAAATCTGCAAGTAAGAAAGGCCAGTCACCCAGTATGCTACAGCCTGAAGTAATTAAATCTTCAACTGTCCGTCTGTGAAGTCTGACACAATATGCAATCATTCCTTAAAGGGTTAAACAAAATCACCAGAGAAGTGCTAATCAAGCCTTCACCTGTGTTTCAACTCTAATATTCTTGCTAACTTACCCTTAATTTCTCAACTTCCACTTCATCCTACTGAAAAGAAACTCCTATAACAGAACAAATTATATAAATTCTTCATTCTCCACATACTGGATCAAACCAGTTTAAGACCCCTTTTCCTTTCACCAACTTAAGTATTTTGCATAGCTTCTTAAATAATAAAATGCTAGGACTACTTTGCACATCAGATCCTTCAGGCAGTCACTGCTAACAAACAAAAACTAAATGTAAGATTTATATTGTTACAAACTTCAAAATATTTGAAGATAAAAATCCCCCTCAGTTGCCATGTTAGAGGAGGTGGAGGTAGGCTCTATAAAATGGATCCAGATGGGCCTGTATCACTTCAACATCACCACATTGAAAGCTGTGCTGTTTAAGGAACTCCTACCCAACAGATCTTTCCTCAGAGGAAAAGGCCTGATTTTGCTCCAGAGAAGTCTTGGTCATTTAGAAGTGAGGCTTGTTCTGTAACACAGGGATAGGAGGGGATCCAGGGAGATACTGCAACTGGTTTGTATCCTGCTCGAGAGCAAAGGTTTTCCACACAGCTATTTCTGAAGCAGGGGAAGCTTGCTTTCATGCCGGGCTTGTTCTGAAAGCAGAGCCAAGGAACTCTGCAGAAATCTCAAAGCCATGTTGATACCATCTCATTTAAATTACTAGTGCTATTAAACCCTAATACCTACAACTGTAGACCTGCTGTAGAGCTCACTCTCTCCTTCCCTGTTGCAGTAAGCAGCTTCAATCTCTGCTGTGTATGGTTATTTCTGTTTTCCTTTTGAAGATACATCTGAGTAACTGTGCCAGCTGATAGATATGCCTGTCACCAGACTTTGCCCCTGAACTGATACTGTATCTGCCCCTGAACTGAGACTGTATCTGCCCCTGAACTGAGACTGTATCTGCCCCTGAACTGAGACTGTATCTGCCTGTAGAGACAAGACAACTGCTGAGGACTTCTGGTCTCTGGCCAACATCATTTAAGATAAAAAGCAACAGTAAAGTTACAAGAAGATACAGCAATTTACATGAGGTGAGGGAGAAAGTAGCATCACCCTAGTGCATCTGTTAATTGAGTGTCTTAATGTGACATCTTGACACATTCTGCCACTGGTCTCACATTCCAGTTTTAGTTTTCCATATTTGTTCAAGTCATAAAATTATGAAGTCACTGGCTTCAAAGCTGGCTTGATGCAGTGAAACCTAATTACTTAAGTAACTCTTCAACATTAACTTATGGGTCTTACACTGCAAGACTGAAAAATCCTACTTGAGCCCAGGCCCTGCTGTAACCATAGCATGGGTTTATACCTTGGCAATCCTGCGTGGTTTCAGCAGTGTGGCAGACCCCATCCCACTCCTTTTCCTCTATAGGCTGTCCCCTCCTTCCAGGGGGGTCATGGAGCACTTACTGCTGCTTTCTTCTTTCCCAAACACCCACCCTTGCCCCCCTAGCTGAGTGTGGGGCCCTGCCCCAAGCAGCCCTTCAGCTGCTGCCCAGATCACTGCCCCCCAGGGGGTGGTGGAACAGAGGACAAGGGGAATTGCAGGAGTTGCACTATTGCTATTGATTAGCTTCCAAAGTATTGACCACCTCCCGATTTATTCTAGGTTAGGGGAATATTGTGACATGGGCAGTGCCACATACTCAGCCCCCCTGCACACAGGACAAGGGCACACCACCACCATGGTGCAAGCAACAGTTAACCCATGTTACACTGACTGTTTCTTGGAAAAGGTGAGAATTCAGTGACTGCTCACTTTCCACAGTCAACCCCTAACTCCTCTTGTGTGAGCCTTTAAACCTGATCCAGATCGGCTCATTTAAACAGGCTTTTCAGCACTTTGCTGCCAGCTACACGAAGCAGCTCTTGCACACAGAAATGAAGTTTCACCAGTATTTCAGAGTAAGCTTCATGACTAACTGGTACAAAATGTGTTTAATAGGCAGTTTTTTTTCCAGTCTTCCTGTGAGTGTACTTATGTTTTACCTAACATTTAACAGAATTAATACTAGTAAAAGCCATTATCATTGATCAGTCATATTGGTTTAATTTTGACTGTGACTTCACTATTCAAAGTGCAATATGCTCCATTTACATTTGAAGTACAATGCAACTCAGAGTTAAAAGCCACAGAAGTCACATCAACTGAACAGCCATCCCCTTTTCCAGACTGGACTTGCTCATAAGCACCGCAGTCAAACACTAAAAACGAGTTGAAGATCAAAATGCTCCTTTCCTATCTGTGGAGATCCCATTTTCATGTATGCACTGCCATTTAGAGTCCTTCTTATACCCATTTCAAGACACCAGATCTGTTTACAGCAGTGCTCACCATGGAGTGTAGTTCTACAGTTTAGTGCCCTTTTCTACTGCCTATGTTGTTGTCCACATTTTTGGTCATGGTTCTATCCTCTTTACTCTTCCCTAACAGACTTCCTGACTCAGTGACTAGTTAGAAACAAGCCAAGCAGAAAAGCCTCCATGCACAAGTACATAAGACTGTAGTAGTTACATTTTGGACTGGGCAAGAATACAAGGCTTACACTATTCCAACAGTCTACAGCCACCACCTTAACCTTCTCCAGAACTCTGGCAAAAGAATTAGTTGCAGGTTTTGGTTCTACTCTCCTGAAGGTCTGACCAAGAATCATTTTACTTGCACTTCTATCATCCTTTTCTTACCTCTACAGTAAACTTAGTTGGAAACTACTGGCTACAACAGTTCTTTCCTGACTTGTGGTTCCTCCCAATCTTCAGCTTTGTAGCATATGGGAATGAAGCACATGGCTCACCGGGTAACCTGGAACTGAAGTACACCAGTAGCATTGTAGTGCCATGAGCCACTACATTGATCAGCTGCAACAGCCAGGCTTAAGCACAAAAGAAACTAACAATAGATTTGGAAAAACACAACCCTGTTACTGAAACAGTGCTATGTTTCACTGCATTGCACCTCACTACACTCAAACTGCAATTCTGAAACAGAATTTGGAATTCATTAGGAGTAAATGAACACTGAAACTGTAATGCTGTTCCCCTTTCCCACTCAAGTGTCCTTAACTGCAGAACCTTAATCAGGACAGACAACATCCTTTTTGAGAAGCCTCCAGCTACCCAAGAATGGACACAGTGAGAGGTGAAGCCTGCAGCCCCTGTAGATCCAGTATCAACCATACTACTCTCCAAACAGGGAATGCTTTCCTAAACTAAAGATTAGTCTGTGTCATGACTGGAACAACCTACCATTATAAACTTTTTTGGAGGCCCCGCGATGTCACTGCTCACAAACGTGACTCACGGTCACTGTGCAAGTTGTTACACAGAGGCTGCAGCTACATCAAGAGCAGCCAGCTCCCAACATCAGGCTGTGTGAGTGTAGTCAGCACTTCCCTGTCTCACTTGACCTAGAGTCCACAGAAATACTCCCGTTTACTGCTACATACACCACACATCTGACACGCAGACAGTGTTGACACATCACAGAATTTTCATTAACAACCCAAGAACCTCAATCCCCCTTGTGAACGCCACTTGGTTTACAGAACCACAGTACCTTGGCTTACTGGGTTACACCTTGTACAGCAGCTGACAGACACCCGAAGAAACCCACTGAAGGAATCCAACTCACCAGTACACAAGAGGCCACCACTCATAGCTGGAGGTTGGGACACCCGCCTTCCACAGCAAAGTGCCAGCTAAGTGAGAACCAGACCCAGTGCCCCAGTCCCAGCACTTTAAGGTACAGAAACACAAACTATCCCACCCCTCAAAGCAAGCCAGTGAGTAGTTCTCTCATACTCCACGTTTGTCTCCCACACACAGATGACAGTATGTAGTCTAGAGCATTTCCATTGCTGGCAGAACCAGGTTTCAGTCACAGCACCACTACTGTCTTGCCATTAACAATACATCACCTTCCAACACAACACAAAGTCTGAGCATCAATGGGGAAAAAAATTCCACTAGGGACAAGGTTCTAGGAAGTAAGTTATGTTGAGCATTTAATAATGACATTTCAAGCCTGTACAATGCAACATTGTTAAACCCTTTCATGGGTATTTGCAGATTTGAGGAACAGGCAGCTAATAGTCAGTGCCACTTAACACACATGCATGTGACCTGGTAAAAGTTCAAAGCATTAGGAAGTTAAAAAGCACACACTCACTGATAAAGCATACACTGGACCACAACCAAACTCCTACCATTTCTTCAGCAAAATTTCTTAATTTCTCTCCTGTCACAGCAGATTTGTAGTGTCTAATCTTGTCCATGACCTCATTTAGAATTCATTTGCATGGTAAGACAATTATTATAAAAAGGATATTAAGATGGTCCCAGTCTAAGTCAACTCCCACTGCTGTTTCCTTCCATTAAGTAGAACTACTTGTCAGTCAAAGCTTTTCTACTGGGAGAGATTCAGAAACAAGTCAAGTATCACAATGTTTATTGATAGATACAAGTATATAAAATCAGGGCATGAACATGTCTCTATAAATTAAGTAGACTTAATTTCAGCACTATAGTAGAGGGACCAATTCAAATTTCTCACCATGTTGTGTTTCACACCCACAAAAACCTCTTCCAAAGGGCATTAAACCATCTCTTCAGCTGATCAATTTTTGTGCAAGTAAACTGTTTCTTTTAAAAAGACTTGTGCACTTGCCCAGGCTCAAGGATATTAAAACCTAGCACATAAAGCCCATTACTAGAGGTAGAAATACAGGCAATATACTATTACGGCAACAACCATTGATTACAGTTAAGGATTCTCTGTAACAACCAAATGGATAATCAAATATTGCAACAACTCAAGTATTACACTGAGCAAAGTGCATTTCTACAGTATTCAGTGTTGCTATTCAGTTTTCTAACTTAAAAACAGCCTATGATAACTGGCAGCAAAGAAGACCCCTTGCAACAGACTGCTTCTGCTCGAGAACTTATGATGTAATTATTGCATGCTGCTAATACACTGTTATCTAAACATTAAAGGTACTCTAAAATATTTTTATTGTAGACTATTAAGACATACTACAAAAACCTTTTGCAGAGAATATCCTATTGACACACTTCTGCTTTAAATATTGTGAAACATTACAGCGGAATGAATTTTCGCAGTGGTTAGGTCAAATGCAGTTACATCATAGCAACAGTATGTTTGCACAACTTAAGGCTTTGGCTGGTTCTTTAGTCAGCTTCTTCTTCAGATTCTTCTTCTTCAGCAGTTTCCAGCCAGGTTAGCCACTGGTTTACCTGCAGTTACATAAAATTGGTTTAAGGGAGCAGGAATAATTCCCACTATGTACTTCTGCACAGCACTGCTTTTTTCCCCTCCAAGTCATTTTAAAGGAAAATCCTTCAGCCACACTTTGTACTAAATTTAAGTCTCTAGTAATGGAATAGGATTTAGTGACTCTTGCCTCACTCCTGCCCCGTGAAATACTCCATTAAGTTTCTAGATATTAACAAGTCTTAAACACTGTTTGAACATGTTCCCAAACACTCCAGTGCAGCAGAGGTCAAAGACAAACCTCTAATATTAGCAAGTCTACCTGGAATAAAGCTTTGCCTTTCCCTGGAAACTCTTGAGTAATATCTTCTTTCCATGCCAAGAAGGCTTCTTCTTCGATGATCTCCATGTCATAGAAATGAACAAAGAAGCGCAGTAACATGCCTATGGAAGTAAATTTAAGCCTCATTAGCTTTACGACCTTCTGAACAGCTTACTCCAAGAAGTGTGGCAACAAGCCATGCACAGGCACGAGTTTTGGGTCAGATCTTAATGCACATACCTTTCGGAAAGTTATTGTTGTAGCAGTGCACCTGGAGCGCATATAAAGCGCTCACTTGCAGATCAACATGGTCATGGAGGAACTTCTGCATTACTGGCTTGAAGGAAAGAAGCAGTTGTTTTTCCTGCTCTAGCTGCTCTTTAGATGGAGCAGATGAAGAATCCGATTCGTCACTAGGTGGGTTTACTTCACTAGAAATATACTGCAAGAAACTGGACAAAAGAAGTCATGAACAAAGATATAGCAGCTAGATTTTTATGTTCCAAAACCATAAGACAAGTAATCTCAAGGTCAGTTTGCTAGCTATTACTAGAAATATCCTTCTGCTTCTATCAGCTGTTAAGCACACGCACTGTGGATTAGTATGATGGCTGACCACACACTACAAAGATCCTAGTTCTGCTTCTGTTAGGGCTCAAACATTTTAGAAATATAACACACAGATCTAGACCTCTTCTCAAGGAAAAGCAACACTTCACACTGATGGAAGCCTGCAGACTTGCTTTTCTTCTCAAATACAATGGGTGTTTAATACAGGGGAGATTAATCTCCCCATGTACTTTATCTTTTTCTGCACAGGGCTACACGTCAGCCTTAACGGAGTTAGTCACATTACCAGCTTAACAAAACATGTGCCTATAGAGTATCAAGAGAGCACCTCACCTGGTCATCAATATATTCACAAATCCCTTATCTACATGAAGTTTGGGTGAAATGTTATCTTTAATCCACTTATAGATGGCTTGAGGGGATGGATCCGATTTTATTTGCTTTAGCAGTTCCTTCTCCAGTTTCAGAAGCGGGAATAAGAAGCTAAGCCCCTTCCCTTCCAAGATCTCCAGCATGCGGTCCTTGTTCTGGTCAATTTCTGACAAGACAGACAGACACTTAAGTGCTGGAGCTACTCAAAAGCTGTCATCAACAGTTCACAGATCATTATAACCGCCTCTTAAGAACTACCATTCTTCATCACAAGTTGACTGCATCAGAATAGCCTTGTACATTATGTTTACTTCTAGTTTTTTAAACTAGAGTAAAACATCTTGCATACACTAACATAAGGTGTCATGAAAGCTATGTGGTAACTCTTACCTGGTAACATTTTCTGCATGTTCACTTTGCTTTGTTGGAACAATTCTGTTAGCCATTCACGATCCTGTAACTTAGCTAACTGCTGAAGGCAAAGCAGGAAGAGAGGGAAATGGGTGCCACTTTCCAGTGGTTGAGCCAGTTCTGAAATGCTCACCAGTTCTGAAATAATGGCACGGGCTGCGAACTGTGCTAAGTAGGATTTCACCAATGGGATGTCCACCTCCAGTTTGGGGCACTGGTCCAATACGTTCAGGAAAGCCTAAGAAACAGTAAACAGAAGTTGAAATGCTGAAGCAATTTTGGTTTTGTGCAGTGATACTCTAACTACATAGGGGTCTCATTTCCTTTCTGTACTGAATCACTTGCAAAGGTGTTCCCCACCTCCAGTTCCTGAAATCCTGTACCCACATTTCTACCTTTCATCACTTCTTATGCCCCTCACAGATTTATGCATTATTTTTACCTCCATCAGATCAACAGGACTTAGAAAGATTTGCACATTGCCTTTACACAAGCTAAATACCAGGAACAGCCAAGAACCAGGGCTATGAGTCTCTCAGGCTGCAGTACCTGCATGAAGTTGTCACTTGTGGCTATTCCCTCCTGCTTGAGCAAGCTGATCAAAGTACTTGCTTTCTCTTTGTCTTCATCTGATCGATCTAGGGATTGAATGATTACTTTGCTCAACATCTCAGGAATGAAGTGTTTCGGAGCTCTCATTTCTCTCACAGTATTGACAGCATCATTAGCATTCCCATTGTTCAGATACTCAGTCACAACAGCTTCCTAAAGAAAAAAAAAAGTACAGTTAAACATCCATTTTTAAAGAACATAAACAAGGCTGCAAGAAACACTATTACATACTTACAGTTTGTTTAAGTAGCTCTTCTTTAGAAGGAGGTGGTTTCTTGGTGGTCTTTGCAGGCTTTTCTTGTATAAGTGGTGGATTTGTTTTAAGACCAAGTTGAGGAGGCTGCAAAAGATACCAGAATTTGTTTCTTTGCAGTACATCTGCCTACATTTACATCAAGTTTAAGAACACTAAATATATACACAGGCAGGTGAAAGTAAAATTAGGTTTTCATGCATTCTTGTTATATACCCTGCTCTGTGCAATGGAAGAAACTGGCTTTAAGTTTTACACAGGAAGAAATTCAGTGTAGCCATCAATATACAGTAATTTTTGTATTTACCTGTCCCAAGGGTGGTGTCTGAGTGCGTGGTGGTTGAGCACTGGGAGGAATCATAGTTATCTGGGGCTGAAGCTTTGGCACTTGGTTTTTGTTCATTAGAAAAGACTGAGCAGGTCTCAGGCTAATCTGTAAACAGACGTCAGAAAAAACTCAAACTGTTTCAAGTATTCTGAGGAACACACAGTCGCGGACTCACACCAAATGATCCCGCTGAAGCATAACTTTTCCATTTCTACGATGTTAACACTCAAATACAGATTAAGCCACCTGGGTACTGAAATTCCCCCAAAAGCACAACTTCACGAATCACATCTTGCTGCAAGTTACTGGTATTTGTTCCATTGGTAACAAGATCTGGAATTGCTCCTTTTAGATGCAGTATGTTAGAGACCCAAGAAGATACTTCGCTAATGTATTTTACAGTAAAGATAAAACTGTACCAATTGCTCAGAGATCAGGATACGAGTCTGGTTAACACTCAAAACAATGCAGTTTACTTTGCATTTGACCTTTTGCCTATTAGCCAGTTCTAAAAAAAGAAAAAAAATTTAGCCTGGTCCAGCACTTCAGGGTTTCTAAAGTTCAGTATTTTCTGGAGTTTTAATTAAGTGTATTGTTATCAATATGATGCATGGGAACTGATGTCAGAGTAGTGTTCTGGGGAAGGTATGGGGGAAGGAAGAGACACCCCCAAGTAATTGCCCTCATATCTCAGTCTTGCTCATAGGACGCTGGATACCCTAAGGAAAGTGAGGGGTAAGGTGAAAGAGGAAGGGACAAAGAAGAAGGGGGGGGGGAAAGAAGAGTTCCAGCATTAGTCCTCATAATAACGCGTCTTGCTATAATCATTGGGCAATATTTAGAATAGGCTTTAAGTAATGTAGGCATGTAATGTACCTCATCTGCATTAAGCTGTCCTTTCTTAGAAAACCGAGGTGGCATATCCTTCGACTGTCCTTGTTGCTGGGATAAGAGTCCCTGATTCTGGTTATGGTAGAGCTGGCTTTGCCCCTATTTCAGAAAGGGAGATATAGAGAAAGAAGTGCAGATGATGGAGTGGCGTACATCATATGGCAAGTAGTACCAGAGGGACCAGAGGAACAAAGATTCTGTTTGCCAGGAAGGGAGAAAGGAGGAGCAGGGGTGGTGGGAGAGTAGCATCTATCCCTAAAAACAGGGCTATCTTAAATAAAACACACCATTCTGACCCACCAAAGCCACATGCACCTTTTCTTGCAGTAAAAAAGTGTATTCCTTGCATCTCTTGCAGAATTTAAAACATGGTTTAGAATTTTTGTATCAGCTGAGCATCAGTTCTTATCAGGACCAAATCTGAAAGTCTTTCAACATAAGGAGACTATAATCTATAACATACGCATCTGTAGAAGAGCTTCTAAACAAGCTGAAGCCACCCTGTGAACAACATCTTCCTTACCTGACTTTTCAGAAAAGATTTGCCTAGTTCTCCAAACTGGGATTGAGCAGAAGGCATGAGGTGACCCCCATGGCCATTGAAAAGTTGGTTTGAACGATGGCGTCCCATGGTGGGTGAAAATCTATCCTGAATAACCCCTGGACCAGTACCAATTCCGCTACCTGTATTAGTAAGGAGACAAAAACCAAGTTCAGTTCTTGTTCAATCAGTACAGCTGCCGTCATCACATCGGCCTTGCTGTTTCAGCGTACCTGGCATTTGTCCAAACATATCAGCAAGCCCTCCAAGTGGGTCCCTGTCAAGTTTCATCCTGGGTGGCATAAAGGGTCCCTCCAGAAAGAAGTCGCTTCTCATCCCTTGAGACATCGGAGCAGGAATAAAAACTCCCAGATCCTTTAAAACAGGAATCATAAAATTTGTCAGCTGGAGTAATAGTCCCTGAGAAAGTGAAAGTTTAGCCCTGAACCCCCTAGAAGTCCATCTGGTTTTAATCCATAACCCCTTATTGTCACATACTGCTGCAAGAACTACCTGTAAGTAAATGCACAGCCTAAGTTTTGTGACATGGAGTAAACAGCCTAAGCATCCCTTTTCACACTCAGGCAAAAGCCAAGCACAAGACTTTACGTACGACACTTACTTTTACTGCATCTTGACGGATTTGATTGATAGTCTTTGGTCCATTGTCAAGAAAAGCTTTGCGAGGAACCCAGTTGTGTTCTCTCAACTCCACAGTATCCTTGGAAAACAATGAATTATTAGCAAAGGATTCAAACAACTTTAAGAAAAAGGAAGCAGTAAGCCATTTTATCATCATACCTGCAGCAGGAAACGAATCCTTGCTGGCAATTCCTTACTTGACATCAAGGAGCGCATACGGGCAAAGTACTGATCCATTAAGGACTGGGAGGAACACAAACGATATTACAAGTGAGGGCTCATTCTATCAGTGTCTTGAGTATTTTCAGGAAAAGTGACCACATTCACAACATCTAAGATCAAGTAACAGAAGACAATGCCCTTTCCTGCCATCTCAATCTCCTTGATAGCAGTAGAACTTAATGAAAGCTCATGCATCAAGACCGCTCACCTGAGCCAAAGATTAAAACCTGACAAAGTTCTCACTACTACGATACCGTTTCAAGCTTACGTTCAGCGCAAATCAAATACATTTGTCAGATCACCTATAGTTGTGTTTAGACTAGAGTTCCTCGCCACACCTTTTCAAGTAGCATTTAGAGAAACAATTCTCATTTTTGTGACTTCCTAACGACCCCAACTTCACTCTGGAAAGACATTTAAAACCACTTCAAAGATTGGCTCCATTTGCTTTCAAGAGATTTGATGGGGGAACAACAGTTGGCACTGTTGCTCTCTGAAAGGCAGACAACAGTTTTGTACTTACAAAACCAACACTGAATACAGAAGGTTCAGGCAAGTAAAAGTCTTAGCCATAGAATTTAACTAGTTTAATGACTGTAGTGGATAGGTACATACCTTGGCTTTTGCATGGTCTAATCTAGGTCCCACTGTCCTCATTATCTGACAGAGGCACTCCAAATCCTCCCCCATATCTTTGAGTTGGACTCTCTTCTTCTTTTCCAAAAGCTGAAATATTAAAAGGGAATCAGGTATTATAAGTTTGTCATTTGTTGAAATAAGTGACAACTTTGTACACTGGCACATGTAGAAACATTTCATCTTGTTCTGAAGACAAACAGACTCAGAATTATTTTTTTAAGAACTGCTAATTGAAGTACTTATTACCTCTAAGTGTGTGTACTTTGAAGTACCTGTGGTATTTCTGTCTAGGCCAAACTTCATCTTCACTGGAAGACTATTCCCATGGCTTTAAGCAGAGCCAATTTTACTTTTTAATCACACCAAAAGACTGTTTATTTCAAACAGCAAAGGTTAGATAATTGACAGGAAACATTTTTGTGGTATTTTATGCTCCAAGATTCCCAAAGCAGCATGAACATTTGCATTTTTTCATCGAAAAGTCTTATTTTACTCTCAGCCCCCACCCCATCTGAATACTCACTGTTTTGATGCACTTATGAAGGATAGATTCATGAATAAGATCAAGCTTGCCAAGTTCTCCAATGAATTTGATGTTCCCCAGCATCTTGATCTTGGCAATCGCTCTCTGTTCCTCCTCCTCAGGGAGGAGGGGACCATCATGCTTATCATAGACTGGAAAACAAAGAACCCTGTTTAACACAACTGCAGAAAAAAATGATAAATTCTGCATTAAAGTGGTTTTAAAGCTTACTATCAACATTTCTGGTTCGGTTTTCAAATTCATCTTGAAGTTTAGATATTAGGAGGCGTCTGAATGTCTAAGAACAGAAAACAAACAAAACAATTAAGTTAATCAGTGCAACTATACATGCAAGCAAAATTTATCATTTCAGATTCAGAGATAGACTCACTGTGCTTTGCTTCTGTCCTGGATGACTCTCTGCTGATGGGCCATCAAAGTTGGGTGCATCTTCTGCCAGTCGCAGACATAGTTGAGCATACAGTGAGCTATACTTTGGCTCTTCAAGGGCTTTGTCTACGATCTAAATAAATTTAAGTAAGGTAGCATGTAGTAAATACAAACATTATTAGAGAACTGAACTGCAATACACACAATGGATCTACAACATTTAACTATTTTTTGATGTTTCAAACATACAGAAAAAATAGATTTTGTTTAACACTAGTCTTAATGTGGTAGCAAAGGACAAAACCAACTCCATGCTACCAATGAACTTCTATAATCCTCAGCCAACGAATGGGACAAATTTGAAGTTCATCATCAAAACACTGACATTAGTATTGCCAATCTGATCTCAAATTAAACAGTGACATGAGTTAAATCAGTGTACCAAGAGCTCACCTGTGGCAGTTTCTCCAAGACTATTTGGTTTGTCAGCAAAACAGGAAAAGGAGACAGGGGGCCAGGAAAGTAAGACTGCTAACTAGAATCTTATAGATTATAAAAACAAACAAAAGAATCCCTAATCACATTTAGTGATTCTTGAGACTTCTAAACTATGAAGTTACAGCATTAAGTCTACTTCCTCCCCAGTATATGCTTTTTACACAAAAAGCAGGAATGGTATTTCTGTATGTTTGGATTATCAAACACTGTATTAGCCATGTTACTTCAGTATTCCATAAAAACAGCCACCCTGTTTCTTTTAACTACAGCTTTCTTGCATGTTAAAAATAAATGCAACCAGCTTACCAGCAGTATGACCCCTTTTAGGATGAGCTTAGATTCTACACCCACATTGAGGAGCTCAAGGCATAGCTTGTCAAACTTTTCAGGAGTAAGCTTATTTAGTATGCTGAAGAGGAACAAACAAAAATAAAAATCCAGATCAGATACTGTAAGCATGCTACAAGTAATTTTAGATCCAAGTTTACCTTTACTTAAGTCTACTGAACAACAACAGGAAGTGTAATTTTCCATTCAACTTTCTTCTGGGTAAACTTTAGAATATAAAGTATTACTGAAAAGACTAATCATCTCACAAGAACTACTTAAGTGTTTGCTGCTGCTGGCCCTATCAGTTTCTGCCTCCTTTTCTCCAAAGGGAACCACACCCCCACATACAGCCCCCACAGAACTCAAGACCCACATCTTCTTTCCTCCAGCCCATTTATTAGAGATGGATATTGCCAAAGACAACAGTAAGGAAAGAAAAAATAATCTTATGAAGAACTTACCCTCTTACTTTCCTGAAGATTGCATCATGTCGTTCTTTGTCATTTGCGGAGTCGTCATCTCGTCTAGTGCTTCGTGAAGGAATCCATTTCTGAGCGTTTTGCCCTGGGGTTTTCCCCAGGAACTCGCTGCAAAAGTTTTAAGAATACCATTGTTAAACAGAAACAAACAATTTGAAGTAACGTACTTTTAACCTTTCAGTATTGCCTTACACTAGGTTGTTACTAATTTTGTTAAGAACACGCATTTACCCCTACGAACACTGCAACATCTGTTACACAGTAAAGTATTCACTCAACAATAAAGACACATACCCAAGAAAATCCTCTGAACTTTAAGTAAAATGCATGAGAAGGTCTGTGCACCTTTTATCATTCATGACCCACACCTTCAACAGACTGTATGCTATCCTGCCAGACTGGAGAACATTAACACGTCATGAACTCACGAATACTCCATTTTCAACTCTGTGTTCACCATCAAGCATTGTTTGCCTTTAAAATCATGCCAAATCAAAAGGCAAGGTAACATACCTGTTGCTGGCAGTCTTGGGATAGTGCTGAGGTGCACCCCTACCACCTCCTCCGCCTGAAGAAGCACTGTTAAAGACAACCACGTAACCTTGTGTAAGTTCAAAATTCCAATGCTTTTAATTACATGTCAGTTTTGGTATAAACACAAGACAAATCTAAGTCCTCCTCAAAGGACAGCTTCCACTGCCAAGTGTTCATGACTCAACAACAAAAAGCAGTAGTACCTGAAACGAGAAGCACCCCCTTCTGCAATCGCACTCTCCACTTTGGCGGCTTGACAACGAAGAATCTTCAAAAGAATAAAATTAAATTGACGGGGTGGGGAAAAACAAAACCTAGAAAGACAAATCAAGCATTCATATTATAGTTGTTTTACTAACAGCCATAGTATCTAACTTACAACACAAGTACAAACATTTATTAGAGAACAGGAACCCTCAAACACTGAACTTTGTAAAAGCTACAAATGCTCTTATTTATGCACTGGATACTGGATACTCACAGAAAGGCAAATTTTATCATTATAGTCATGTTTTCTAATGGGGATGAAGGAGGAGAGGTAAGGGAATCATGGACTGAGAAAGTAAAAGCCTCAGATTTACCCTGTCAACCCCCCAAAAGCACTTGCAGAAAAAAAGGGTTTTTAGCTAGTTTTCTGCTAGCAGAGTATAATTAAATTAATCCTTTATTGATATGCTTTGCAAACTATGACTAATTATGGCAAAGTAGTCAAGTTTCAAAGCGAGTAGTACCAGATCACAAAACGCACACTAATGAAGCAGAAGGGATATATTCTACATCCAAGTCCAAACGGCCAATTAAGCTACTAAATAATGAAAAAATACCGGCCCTCCCCACCTCAAATTTCAGCTTGCAAGACAGGAGCAGGAAGGAAAATTTCACCGCACGGCTCAAGTAACAGAAAGCTAATCACGGAGACAGAAATGCTTGGGGAGCACGCAAAAAACCACCACCAAAACCGACAGGCATTTTGAGGCTCCATCACAGATCTGCTCCGAGACACTGGTGTACTGAGCACACAGCCACCTCCTCGGAAAGCCAGCCCGAGAAACGCCCAAGGGAACGCACCTCCCCCCGTCAGCGCAGCGCCCCAGCAGCCCCCTCCGCCACCGCCCGCTCGCGGGAGCCAGCGCGGGCACGAGGAACGGCTCCCAACATGGCTGC